GACAGTTGGTTTAATACCTATTGGAAAATGCTTGTCAGTCCTCTGTAGCATCTGGTCCCCACTGGACCCTCATCATTTCCTTCACCTGCTCCCCCCACCGACCAAACTGTGCAGCTCTGCAACTGCATCCTGACCCATCCTCACCCTTCTGCCCCCAACCCTCACCTCGTTGTACCCGCAATATTTTTCCCAATAAAAAAAGCTGCTGTTGTTATGTGCTGTCGACTCACCTGCGACTCATAATGACTCTATGTACAACAGCTCTGAAGCCTGCCCTGTCCTGAGCTAGTCTCACTGACTCTGACACACCTATCTTCATTGTCCTAGTTACTATATCAACACATCAGTGTCTTCCTCTCTTGAGCTGTTTCGACACCCTTTTGAGCATGATGTCCTTCTTTAAAGTTCAGTGCCTCCTGGCCACATGCCTAAAGTATGTGAGGTGGAGCTTCAGAGTTCTAGCCTCCAAAGAGAAACTTGGTTTCACCCTCTCCAAGACAGACTTATTTGTTTTCTTGGTGGTCCATGGTATGTTCAAGACTCTTCTCCAAAGCCGCAACCCAAAGGCATCAATTATTTTTCTGTTATCCTAGTCATTGTCCAGCTCTCTCATGTAATTGTGAAGACCACAGCCTGGATCAGGCTCACCTTAGTCTCTAGAATGACATCATTGCTTCTCAGTACTCTGGAAAGGTCCTTGACATCAGATTTACCTAATGCAATTCATCTTTCAATTTCTTGGCTGTTGGTGCCAAGAATGTGGATTGTGGAGCCAAGCAAACTGTAATTATTAAGAACCTCAATGTCTTCTTCATCCATCATGGTACTGCCAATTGGCCCTGTGTGAGAATCCTTGTCTTCTTGATGTTGATCTTCAATCCATATTGAAGATTGCAGTCTTTGACTTTCTGCAGTAAGAGCTTAAGGTCCTCTTTACTTTCAGCAAGCATGGTTGTGTCATTTGCATAATGTCGGTTGTTGATGAGTCTTCCTCCAATCTTGATGCCACATTCCTCCTCATAAAGCCTATACTTGTATCATAAAAGTATAAGTAGATAATAACTTCTAGAAATTTTTCCAAACCAAAAGGTGGTCTCAGGAACTCCTGTGCACATACCAAACATTTTTACTGTATATAATAATTGTACAATAAAAATATTTTTAAAAGGTATTGCAGTATGAAGAGGAATGTGGCAGAGATTGAGATATTGAGATTGCTAACAGCTTCAGTTTGTTTGGCTCTACAATGTCAGAAGAGCAACAATGTCAGTCTGAAGACTAAGCAGGCCATAGTCTTTGCAATTACTTGCTATGCACCAGAAAGCTGGACAATGACTAGGGATGATAGAGAATTAATGTCTCTGAGTTGTGGTGCTGGAGAAGACTATAACATATACCATAGATTGCCAGCGGAACAAAAAGGTTCATCCTAGAGAGGGTGAAACCAGGCTGCTTTTTGAAGGCAAGGATTCTAAGGCTTCATCTGAAATAGTTTGGATATATTGCAAGGAGGAACCAGTCCTTGAAGAGGGACAATAATACTTGGAAACGGCGAAGAAACAGCACGAGAGAGGGAGACCCTCAATGAGATTGATTCAGTGGCTGAGGTAATGAGAGTAGGTGTTTCAGAGACAATAATATTGGCACATGATAGAGCAGGGTTCAGGGCTATTGTACATAGGGTTGCTATGAGTCACAAACGACTTGATTGCATATAACAATAATAATATAATTGTATGGTGAGGTCTATGAATTCTTCCAAACCTAGGGATGGTCTTGGGAACTCCTATACACATACCGAGCATTTTTACTTTTTTTGTGTTCTTTGCTGAGGATATTTCTTCAAAGGGATCAGATTCCATAGTTGCAGCATTTCCTTAGAATAGTCTCTTTTGGATTTGTCTTTTCTTTCTTGAAATACCCCTATTGTTGTTTCTCTTTTTCAAGGTAGATAGACTGCCACATTGAAGGGACTTATCCAATAATTGTTTCAGCAGAATAACCCAAGTGAATTTCCTTCTTAGGAGCTTCTCCTGAAGGTTTTTAATACACATTAATGTTTCTACATCATTATATCTTGTCATGGAGATATATATTTGGATAAACTTATCTAATAAATAGAAATTAGCAAGAATGATAGATACTACAGTATATTGTAAACTCGTTGTGGGTGGCACCATATGTTTGAAACAGAGAAATAAGGAAAAAGTAATTATATTAGTTTAATTTTTCTTTTTTTCAAAATGAACTTAATGTAAAGTATGTCTAACAGTATAGAAAATTAACTTTTAAAATGAATATTATAATTCTTATTAAAATTGTTAATGACTGAGAAGAATCATCTCATTGGAACAAGAAGACTCTTTCAACTCATCTTCTTGTAGTCAATATTTAAATGCTTATCTGACTGAAATGCAGTTTTCTTTTGCTATGATTGACTATTACATAAACAAGGACTAAGGTTTTGTGTAATGTGTGTTCTAATATCCGAATATATTAAAAACTCAGGAAAAAAAGTGCATCAAGGATGTGTCTTGTCACCATACCATTTCAATCTATATGTGGAACACATCATTAGGGAGGTTGGACTTTATGAGGAAGAATGTGGCATCAGGATTGGAGGAAGACTCATCAACAACAACCTAGCAGATGGCACAACCTTGCTTGCCAAAACTGAAGATGACTTGAAGCATTTGCTACAAAAAGTTAAGGACTGCAGTCTTCAATATAGGTTGAAACTCAATTTCAAGAAGACAAAGATTCTCACCACGGTGCAAATTGGTAGTGCCATGATAGCTGGAGAAGAGATTGAGATTGTTAACAATTGCAACTTGTTTGGCTCCACAGTCAACACTCCTGGAACCAGGAGTCAGGAAATCAAAAGATTATTTGTATTAGGAAAATATGCTGTCAGGGACCTTTCCAGAGTACTGAAGAGTGATGATGCCAGGCTAGAGATTAAGGTGCATCTGATTCATGCTATGGTCTTCTCAATTTCGTGCTGTGCATTATAGATTTGGACAATGAATGACTAAGGATGACAGAAAAAGAATGAATGCCTTTGAGGTGTTGTGCTAGAGAAGAGTACTAAGAGAACTAACAGGTTTGTCCTGGAGAGGGTGAAATCAAGTTGGTCCTTGTAGAAAGGGATTTTTAAGCTCCACTTGACACACTTTGTGCATACGGCTAAGAGGGACCAGTCCTTGGAGAAGGAAATCCTGCTTGGATGGATGGAGAGACAGTGCAACAAAGGATCAGATGGATTGACTCCGTAAATGAGTAATGGGAGTAGTGATCTCAGAGATGGTGAATTTGGCTCAAAGTTTTAGAGCTATTTTGCCTCGGGTTACAGTGAGTTGAAAGTGACTTGAGGCATACAACACAACAACATATCCTAATATGTTACAACAACATATCCTAATATAACTCTTTAATAAATAATAGCATTTTTAACTATTAAATTAATTACAGATTGTGTAGATATACAAAGGCTAAAAAGAGAATTAAATGTGGAATAAATATTTAAAACATGTTCAAAATATTTTCCTTACTTCTGTGTATTATAGAAAATGAGAATGAATTTGGAAAATATGAAGAGTGAAGATCTTTCAAATTCAGAGGTAAGAAGAAAAAGTTATTCTGTGTTTTGTGAAATGTGACATCCTGGAAATTAACTTTGGTGAATTAATGGATAAATTTGCATTGTTGTTGATTGTCATAACGTTGAGCATGACTCATAGTGACCCTATGAACAAAAGGCTTGAAACCTTTCTATATCGTCATTTATCGAAGTTCATAGTTTTCAGATACATGTTGTTTAGGAAGTGGATGCCACTCCTGCTTTGAAATCTGTCTCTTCCCACCCACCCCACTTCAGGCCCAATCTGGGGCCAGAACAAGAGCACACTGCATGGTTCGCAATTAGGAAAGGTGGATGCCAGGGATGCATCCGACCTTTTCAATCCATATGTAGATCAGATTATCCAGGAGGCTGGACTTTATGAAGAGGAATGTGGCATCAAGACTGGAGGAAAATTCATCAATAACCTCCTTTATACAGATGATACAACCCTGCTTGCTGAATCTGAAAAGGGCCTGGGACATCTGTTGCAGAAAGTCAAAGACTGCAGCCTTCAATATGGATCAAAGCTCAACATCAAGACAACAAAGTTTCTTCCCACTGGTCCAATTGGCAGCATCATGATAGATGGAGAAGAGATTAAAATTGTTAACAGCTTCAGCTGCTTTGTTCCACAACCCAAACTCTTGGTACCAGCAGCCAGGAAATCAAAAGACGTATTGCATTGGGAAAATCTGCTGTCAGGGACCTTTCCAGAGTACTGAAGGAAGAGCAATGATGTCAGTCTAGAGACAAAGGTGCACTTGATCCAGGCAATAGTCCTTGCAATTAGTCCCATGTACCAGAGAGCTGGATAATGACTAAGAATGACAGAAGAATTGGTGCCTTTGAGTTATTAGAGTATTAAAGAAGAGTATTGAACATATACTATGCATGGGATGGTAAGAGAGTAAAGAGGTTTGTCTTGGAGAGAGTGAAATCAACTTTTTCCTTTGAAGCTTGGTCTCACATACTTTGGTCATGTTGCCAAGAGGGACCAGTCCTCTGAGAAGGACATAATGATTGGGAGGGAAAAATGACAGTGCAAGAGAGGATAACCCTAGATGAGATTGATTGACCTAGTGAATAGGGTAATGGGGATAGGTGTGTCGTTAATGATGAGGTTGGCTCAAGATAGAGAGTGTTCAGATGTGTTGTACATAGGGTTGCTATGACTTGCAAGTGAATTGACAGCACATAACAACAATAACAAGTTACAGATATTGTGCCAAAAAATCTTATCGAAGTGTATAAAAACCAAGTATTCAGCTTGTGATAGTTTTAAAAGCCAGAAAGTCCAGAGACCTTGGCCACAACAATTACGTATACACACAAATTTCCCAATTATTTTTAATTTAATTTTTAATTATTATTTAATGTGATCCTGTAATTCTCTTAACATCAGTTAATTTCAATAATAGTGCTGAAGTTAATTATAATTCAGAAGATTTTATAAAAATGAGAAAATAGTGGAATAATTTTAAATTTAATTTAAAAGTAAATATTAAATTAATATTATAGGAAACAAGAGCAGCAGACTTGGGCAAAACATTAGCTGAAATTAGTGACCGCTATGGAGCACCTAACTTGAGCCGAGTGGAAGAGCTTGAGGAACCAATGATGTCTGATGTAAGCATCTTTAGGGATTTTTTTTTAGTGTTTTTGTCTTTACTTAATAAAGCCTGATGTATCTGATGCCAAGAGTGCTTGGCAAATGGACCTTTTGCTTGATAGTAAGAAAAACAAGTACCTAACTGTTGACTGTATTCATGATGACTAACTACTCTCTGTGTCCATGTGCCTCTGGCCACAGGCCAAGGGTAGGAACATGACTGGTTCCTGTCAAATGTGTCTTCGCTAATAGAGAAGCAGCTAGAAGTGAATATACGGGGGTTGACACTGTGTATTTTGAAGTTAAAATTGGAAGACCTCAAATTTTCTTCAATATTGTATTTAAAATAATTTGGTGAAATATATGCTCATTGAAATGTCTTTAGGGCATGTTTTTTTTCAGTGAGTGGTAATTAAGGGAACCAAATAAATATGCTAATAATAGTGCATACTTTCCAGTATATAAGTACATCCATGTATTTAACAAAAATATAGTATTTCCTGTATTATTGTAGAAATAGATAACTAGTAAAACGTGTAAGGGGGGAGGAAGAAGTACAGGGGTGAGGATGAATGGGAGGCATAATCATTGGGTCACACAATTTGATGGATGAGTTGAGGAGTGGGTTAAGAAAATGGGAAAGGTCCAGTGTGAAAAACAGTGAATACGGACTTTAAGTATACCAGTAAAAAACCCAAGTTTATATTAAAAAAAAATAGTATTATCTCTGCCAGACCTGAATAAAATAACTTTTTTATGTCATAAAATTTACTAAGAGGGGAGAGGGACAGTTAGTTGAACAATTTTTAGACATTGTTAGAGTGAGTAGGTAATTTATTGTCCAAATCAGGATACCTTTGAGAGTGAGGGGAGGAGCTATTATTACTTAAACTCGTTGACCAGCCTCATGGATGGGGTGTATCAGATACCATTAGTCAGTACGCTCTGACAATAGTGGGATTCTTGAATATTTCTTACTCAGTGTTGGAGTGGGAGCACAAGAATTATTAAGGCTGTTACAAGCTTTATGGTTTTGGGTTTCATTCAGAGGGTCTCTGATTTGATCTCTTGAGTTGATTTTTGTGTATTTTGTGAAATGTTAGTCCTGTTTCAGTTTTCTGCAGTTAGCAGTCCAGTTTTCTAGCACCATTTGTTGAAGAGGTTGCAATTTCCCCATTTGATAGGGTTTTATTTCCTTGTCAAATATCAGTTGACCATAGATAGATAGGTCAATTTCTGGTTCTCAATTCTGTTGCATTGGTCTATGTGCCTGTCATTGTAGCAGTACCATGCTGTTTTGGTTACTATTGCTGTGTAGTAAGGTTTGAGGTCAGGGAGTGCTATGCTTCCCACTTCATTTTTGTTTTTTCAGAAGAGTTTTGCTTACTTGGGGTCTCTTTCCTATCCAAATAAACTTAACAATTTCCCTGAAAAATGAATTTGGTATCTGGATTACAATGAACATGTAGATTGATTTTGGTAGGCCTGTCATTTTCACATTATTGAGTCTTTCTATCCATGAACAGGGAACATTTTACCATTTATTTAGGTCTTTTATTGTGTCTCACAAAAAATGTTCCGTAGTTTTCTTTGTATAGATCTTTTGTGTCTCAAGTTAGGTTCACTTCCATATATCTCAATTTGTGATTGGCTATTGTAAATGATATTGCTTTCTTGGTTTCCTTCTCTGAGTTCTTTTTGTTACTGTAGAGGAATCCCACTGATTTTTGTATATTGATCTTGTGTCCTGTCAATCTGCTAAATTGATCTACTAGCTCTAATAGTTTTTTATTGAGTCCTTGGGGTTTTTTAGTGTATCATATCATCTGAATATAACAGTTTAACCATCTCTTTACTGGCCTGGATGCCTTTTCTTTTTTCTTTCTCAGTCTATTTCTGTTGGTACAGTGACTGTATATTTCTTCCATCTTTTTAAATGCTTCTTGGATCCTTTAATATTCTGCCCAAAGCATCCTTAAGTATTGCAACTCATGGCTTGAATTTGGTTTCCATTCCTTGAGCTTAAGAAATGCTGATTGATTTCAGCCATTTTTATTTTCAGACTCCAGCTCTTTGCACATTTCATTATAATACTTTGCTTTGTCTTCCTAAGCTGCCCTTTGAAATCTTTTGCTCAGGTCCTTAATTTCTTTATTTCTTCCCTGTGCTTTGGCTTCTTGGCACTCTAGTACAACATTCAGAGTCTCCTCTGACATCCATCTTGGTATTTTCTTTCTCCTCTTTTTTTGTAATGATCTTTTGTATTCTTCATGGATGATATTCGTGATATCCTCCCACAGTTCATTTGGCTTTTGTTCATTGGTGTTGAAGGCCTCAAATCTCTTCCTGAGATGGTTTAGAAATTCCAACGAGATAGACTTAAGGTCACATTTTGGTTTCTGTGGATTTTATTTCATTTTCTTTGACTTCAGTTTGAACTTGCATGTGAATAGTTGGTGGTCTGTTCCACAATCAGCACCTGACCTAGTTTTCACAGCTGATATTTAACTTCTCCAGCTATTCTTTCCAAAGATGTAGTGGATTTGTTTCCTATGCTATGTATATCATCATGTGAAATCCATGTGTATAGTCTGAGTTTGTGTTTCTTATAAAAGGTATTTGCAATGAATAAATCCTTGAATGTGCAGAATTATGTCATTCTATCTCCAGCTTTATTTTTCTGTCACCAAAGGCATGTTTTCCACCTACTGATCTCTGTTCCCTACTATTGCATTCCAGTCGACCCTTATTATTAATGTGTCTTGATTGCATGTTCTATCGATTTCTGACTGTAAAATTTGATAGAGATCTTCTATTTCCTCTTCTTTGGCTCTAGTTGTCTATGCATACACTTGAATGATAGTGGTGTTCACTGGACTTCCTTGTATGTGTATAGATATTATCTTGTCACTCACCACATTGCACTTCAAAATGGATCTAGAAATAACTTTTTTATTATGAAAGCACCCCCATTTTCCCTCACATTTTCATCATCATGTGATCATATGATCATCTGATTAAAAATGTCCTATGTCAAGTCATCTCATTTCAATAATACCTACTATGTTAATATTTATTCATTCCCTTTCTTTCTTAACAATGTACAATTTTTCCTACATTCATACTTCTCACATTCCACATTCTAATTACTAGTGTCTGCTTACAACTGTCCCTCCTTTTTTGTGTTTCCATATTTGAGACTTCAGCCTCAGTTGCCTGCTAGTCTAAGTGTGTGTACATAGGGTTTTCAAAGTGCTTATTTCAGAAGTAGATGGCAAATCCTTCTTCCTAGTCTGTCATAAATTTATTTTAGACTAGTACTTGACAAACAAGTATTATACAGAAAGGAACAGATGAAAGGCATTTACCCAGTTATAGAAATGACTGATAGATTCAGTATTGCTATCCACCCTTGGCATGTGTGTCTTGACCCACCCCTTTCCCTACTCCACCAGCATCCCTTTCCACTCTGATCTACACCATTCAACACCTCTCTCTTTGTCCAGCCCTTCATATGATGGCGTAAGTCGCAAGCCATCAGGTTTCCATGATTCAGAACACCTCGTGCTGCTGCCAGTTTCTTATGCTATGGCCAGTTTATCTTGAATTTAAGAGTCTCTTAAGTACAAATACCAAGTACAATATCAGGGAAGGCTTCCTATCTCAGATGGTTCTGAAGAAAAGTCCTTTGCCTTGAACTTCTACTCCAGGACTGACTTCTTGTGGTTTAGTACCTCTTCTATTCAATTTGCAGCACTGCGCTGCCATAGGAGAATAGTTTCCCAGGGGAGAGCAATGTGTTCTCTAGATCTGGTGTGTAAGTGTTGTTTTCTTTTAACTCTAAGCCCCAGCCCATGGATGCCTGCGATTCAGCACTTTACCTGCAGGGAAGTGGTGAGGTTGGACAGGGTCAAAATCTGCTGCCTTCCCATAATCCTAGACTATCTTAACTTTCAGCCCCACCCTGCGGATGCCTACAATTAGGCATTTTTAGGAAAGGCAAATTTTCACAGAAAGGACTTGAGTAGAATGAATGGCTCATCTCATAGATAGAACATTTTAACTTGGCAACTAATTAATAATATCATAAAGATAAGACTGACAACTTACACAGACACAGTGAAAACAGCCTAACATTTATCAAGAAAAACTTAAAATAATATTGAGAAAGCATCAGTCAGCTTTAAGTATTGTGAGAAAATAAGCATTCTCCAAAAAAAGCAGAGAGTATTGCAGATGCAATGAATACCCCAGGGTCAAGAAGGCAGATGATATATGTTGATATGGAGACTTAAAACAATTATGAAAGAAAGTACAAATGATGGAACAAACAGTGGAAGCCACAAATAAAGGGCATATCCTACAGATAGAGGACCGGAAGAAATATATTGATGAGAAGTTATTTGAATAGCAATGGAGAAGGTGTAAATGATGGAAGAGACAATAGAAACCACTTAAGAAATCAAACACTCCTGAGACACAGAACCAGAAGAAATATATTGATGATGAGGAACTTGTGAGAGTACAGAAGAAAATGCAAAAGATGGAAGAAAGAATTTAAATTATATATAAAAAGGTACAAGAACTTAAAAAATAATCACAAGACAGAGAGGGTACAGCTAGCACAGTACTGGAAATAGGAGAAATACATTAAAATGCAATCCAGAATATTAAAATGGAAATTACAGAAGTGTCCAAGGTGATGGACGGACAAAAAAGAAGAACAGAAGAGATGGAACAGAGAACTCGTGACCTGGAAGATAAGAAACTCAATGGAAACATACTAGAAGAAAAAACAGCTATGAGACATAAAGAAAATTAAGAAAATATTAGAATCATGTGGGGTAACATTACAAGGAATAACATAGATATGATTAGAATTCAAGAATGTTAGAAGGATGGGGAAATTACTGCAGAAATTGTGGGAGAAGTACTAGGGAAAAAACCCAACTTCCTAGGTATTATTAAGAATGAGGAAATGTACATTCAAGAAGCTCAAGAAAACCAAATAGACTAGACCCAAAAAGAAAAATATCAAGACATTGATAAATGTAAAATTTTCCTAAATAAAAAA